ACAATCTAATGAATAATAAACATTTATTTTCCTTTAAATCTTATTTTTAATAACTTCAATTAATAATTGCAAATAATTATTCTATTCAATTACAGACTCAAAATACTCAAACATAGGAACTCCCTCTCCAACTAGAGAAAATCTTGCGTATGAATTCCAAGAAAAGTTTACCTTGGCGATGTTGTTTCTTAGCTTACAAATAAGTAGCGTGTTAGTGGCAAAAAAATAAATAAATAATAATTTTATTGACATTAATAAAAATTGAATAATAATTTACTGATATTAATTTTATTGGCTGTCTCAAACAGATGAAGACACATATTTTAAACTAATTAAAAATTAATAAGAGTTATAAAGAAGTCTGTAACAATAGTTTATATGCTCATAGATAAGAAAACATTGAAAAATATAAAAAAATTCTAAGCTTTTTCAAGAATGCTCTGTCTTGACCTAAGTTCAATTTGCATAAACCGCAACATGGACATTATCCGTATCTGCTAATATGTAATCACGCGATTGCATTCAGCAGCCTGATTTGCACATAAATCGATCCCCTCTTGAAAAATGCGTGCCCTGCTATCATCTCTAGTCTGGAAATAATAAAAACTGGTCGTGAAATATGTAATAAGCATGTAATTTTGAGAGGCAAGGTGCCAAAACCAACACGTGAAGTTCCTTTCGCCTCCGTGTCTATAATTGTGCATCCCAAATTAATACATTTTGTGTTTGCCTTTTCGCCGCTGCGTCCGTCGGAAAGCTGCTCGCGCAAGGTGCGATATTTTTTCAACTTTTGCCACCCCGAGCGGCAATTTTCTCCCGACGGGCCCGATATTTATTCTCGGGCACCCTGTAATTTTCCCCTCCGGCCCCGCAGCCAAATCACCTTTTCCGCCTGATGATAATTTGATTTGTTTTCTGCCCTCGACCGCCGCGGCAAATTAAAACGGAGTGAGGAAAAAAATGACCTGCCGCGATTTCTGATGAGATCATAATATAGAATTTTCATCAGGTATGTTTGAAAACAACAGCTGGCACGTGAGAGTCGCGAGTGAATCGAAAAAGTGGTGGTGATTCTGATTATTATTTGTTCGCGCCCGGTGCCACTTTTGTTTCTATTTGGTGTGTAAATTGTTTTCCTCTGGTTGGCGTAATTATCTTGTTGCTTCCTTTCGAGAACTTCAAACATGTAATAGAATTTAGGAGCTTCTTATTTCTTCTATAAAAAAAACTGCAGAGGATGCCTTTATTTAAGGATAACGGATAACTTACCTATTTTATTATTATTATTATTTTCCATGAAAATTGTTAAAACAACAAAATTATAATTAACTAAGCTTTGTTTTATTTTGTCGAAAAAAATGCAAAACTATTTGTTTTGATACAAAATAATCTATTTTTTAAAAATTTGTTATGCTATGATGTGATGAGGATATGTTAATTTATTTATTTCATTTTTATTCATGGAATTATTTATTATAATTTGTATTTTTATTATTTATGAAGGAAACTTTTGCAAGTATGTAAATAAAATGTATTTATCTCTGTATAAATAGGATGTATATATTGACAGAAATATTGTGGATTTTCTTTTGAAATTATAACTCAACAATTGACGAGCCCCCAAAATGGAGCAGCAATTGATTTTTTTTTCTGTAATTACATACAGTGCCACGTGCAAATGTGATGATTTCTTACAGTAATTTAGTACTAGAATTAATTATAAGATAAAAAGGCAATGCATTTTCAGTTAAAAAATCTCTTCTAAGGTCGGCTCTATATCTTAACTGGATTCTCTTTTTTTGTTTGAAGATCTATATAATTCATGCTCTTTGTGCGAATCTCACAATTGAATGGCAATAATAAAAATTCAATAGCTCTCGTCGTTCACGCCGGAGCACGACTTCTCGTTTTGTAAAAGGCACCTCAAATAAATTTCAAAAGTGCCATCCTCAACGACAAAAGGGAGCAAATGGTCAAGTCTGATCCGAAAAGTAGTTCTTGTGGACCTGACAATAGTCGGCACACACACACAATGACTTGGCAAAAGTCCCATATAAAAATTCGTGACACACGAGCAGGGGCATGATAAATAAACATTTACAGTTGTTGGGGCTAAAACACTTTTTCTCAGAATGCGTGCAGCTCCCGCGAGAGGAAAAGTTGTCAAATAGCCTCTTTTTATATCGTTTATTCGAAAAGAATTTTTCTTGTATTGCTGTTTTTGGGCTTGTGCAAGACGTGCCTTCTTCATTGTCAGCCGAATTTCCACGCTGGTAATTTCGTACAATTAAATTATTAGTGAATGCGACGTCGTGGCCTGTGTGAATTTTCGGTTACTTGATGGTTTTTCGGGGCCATTTGTTCCATTCGGGGAAAACTCGGCCTGTCGGTGCGTGAAAGGCCGGTTTGAGAAAAAAGAAAAGTCACGCATTTCATTCGAATCTGCATACAGTCGGTGCATCTCCCTTATTACAATCTTTCGCTCCGATCTCGCGGAAGAGTTGTCGAGTCACTTCTATTTGCTCTTTTCTGTCAGTCAAAAAATCATTAATAATTTTATTTGATATAACGTATGTGAATGTGTTGAACGGACACGCATTGAAATAGTTGTTTTGATCTCGTAAACAAAAAGGGCATTCAAACGAAAAGGGCGCCGGTTTAATTAATAAACATGTCAGCACTTTTGACCAGCTAGAGAAAGGAGACGCAGAACGATAATTGCTCCCAGCTGCCATGTATGCGCACATAGAAAGATGCATCTCTAAGAAATTGTGTTATTCAAATCACTGTCTCGTCATCATCATCGCTGGACCATGACGATTCTAGTTTCTAGTATGACCTGTCCCACATCAACAAGTGAATAATGCAAGTGTCATAAAAAAATGCTGTTATAACGATTCTCAGCAATGAACAAAAGCCAAGCCTGAAAAACTCGTTTCAGGTTCCAATAATTTATCTAAAATTAAAAAAGGGTAATTTTTTTAATGGATATTAATATAGAAATATTAATATCCATTTAATGAAATTTAGAATATAATCTGCATTAATAAAGTTTTGTCCCTTGGAACGGATCTCTTTAATTTTTTTTCTTTTTACCATCTACTTATGGAGTAAATACGCTATTTTTTTTCCAATTTTTGCTTCACTATTTTAAATTGGCTTTGATAAGTTGAAGCGCAGATGTGGTTTCCTACAATCTTTTTTAAACAATATATATTGTAGGTGAAATTTTAATGTGTTCATAGTGTATTTAAGATTGCAGAGAATAAATACACAAAATTTAGGGAAAATGATATAAAAATAAATAATAAAAAAATGTGAAAAATATATTTTTTTTCTTAATTAGTTTTTTAATTTCATGCAACATTTAAATTTTTTTTCCATTGAATTAAAAATTTTCAATGCATAGAAAGTACTTCTGGTATTTTCTCACGGTGTCATGGAACACATGGTCCTTTTCGATTGTGATCATTGCTGGATGGAACACCTCACAGGCGTAACTTGCTTGATATGTTTCTCTCATTTTTTGCTGCCTCTGATTAGCTTTAGTTGTTCCGTAATTAACCTGCAAACCAGCAGGAGCTCTAATCCGACGAGCAATGAACAAGCAATAAAACGAGACATCTTTATTGCGTAATAATCGCATTATTAAACGCGCATTCATTGTACCGATGCGGAGAGAGATAAAAAAAAATGTGTCGACTTTCTCACCGGCGAATTTAATACGATTTGTTTCGGAAAAAACTTATTAATCTGCGTAACTTTGAACAAACAATTTATCTTTCTATTTGTTGGTGAGTAGTATTGAAAAAATAACAACCCTTATTAGTTGCTTTTTTCCTGCGAGGGGTGGCTGCTCGCTCGGCTTCCCCTAAGACACACAATTGCACGTGTTTTTGTCGAGGAGAAAAAAGACGTGCGGAGTCAAAAGTGCCGCGATATAATTTGAAACCGAGAGTGCTTTTCAAGCTAGGGCGGAAGAACGCTCGAATTGAAGGTAATGATGATCTGGTCGGCGAGCGAAAAGTTTCACTTTCGCAGCTGCCTTGCTCAACTATTATAGGCACGGGTAGCAAAATTTCTCCCAAAAATATCTGATGCAGTGGATTGTTACCAAGATGAGTAATGATTTGAACTCTTCCTCTTCTTTATAAAATGCCGAGGCGGATGTTGTGATGCAAGCAAAGCACAAGTGTCAAGCCACACATTGAAAACATTTTGCTTTCGTTTCCACACGACAAGCTGCACTAGGCGGAAATTTCTATTTGGGGCGTGAAATATGATATTTGTCACAACTAGAGAGACGTAAAAATTTTTATTACCATGAATTTTTGCTTTTCGGGTACACAATAAGTTAATTTTTACAGAAAAAATCAACAAAAATCATTTTAAAAATCAAGGACAAATTTCCTTTCATAAAAATACTATTTTTTTTTTAAATGTGTATTTTTCCTTCTAAATTTTTTTCTTATTTGTCAATACCAGTCTCAGTTTTAAAGTTTAAACTTGACCTGGCGGAAAGCTTTTGCATCTCCGCTCAGTATTTTTGCTCAGCACAATAGAACGAGCACGTTTTATTTAATAACAAAAAGGATTGAAATCAGTGTCGCGTGAAGTGATCGTGCAGAGCGAAACGCATCAAGACCGGTGTTGTTTGTTGTCAAAAGTTTTCCAGCACCGGGTGACAAATCCCTTCATTCAGGGCATGATAACATAAGGTGGACGCCACACGTCATTGCCGCGAAATTCTAGAGGAGATGTGGAATATAATGACAACAAATATCTCTGCTGCAGTTCTTTGGCAGCCTCCAATTTTGGTCGAATTAAAAACATGAATAGTTATCTCTAACCACCGGGGGGCGCGACAGCTCGGAATTTCATCTCTATTATGCTCCATCAATCATGCTCTAAGCAGAATCGGTTAAGCCCAAATCCGAAACAGCTTTATGTGAAAAGATAGGAATCGTTGAAAAAAAATCTACATTTCTTTTTACAAAAATTCACTTTATAAGGTTAAATTTAGCATTAATATCCTCACAATGCGTTTGTTTATCAACTCAAAAATGTTCATCCACGCAGCATAATTATGCTCCTAAGGCAGCCTCAAGTTGTTTATAAGTATTTTCGACTGAAAGAAAATTAGATTGGAAATAAACCATAATTAGTTCATGATGCCCATACCAAATTCCTGATGACTTTTTTGGCACTGTAGAAGTTTAGCTCTATCAGTTTTAGCTGCAGCATCGCCTCCCTTTTTCGCCGCTTTTACATTCTTCGCTGTGTTAGATTTTCCTTTTTTTAATCGGAGTTGGTACCGATCCTCCAAGGCTTGTGCTGAGATTGGAAAGTTCCAAAAACTTTTGCGGTCGGCATCGGCATGCGAAATCACCACAAATATAATAAATACGAAGAAAACACTGAAAATTTCACTTCTAATATTTTCCCAATGTGTAATAACGAACTACTCACCATCCTTTTAGCTCCATCGTTATAACTCTACTTAGCATTACGAGTAAACGACTGCAGGCCTATAAATGAAGTTATCGTAGAATTAATGGAGCAGAGATATCAATTTACTAATCAGAAACTATAAACAGCCAGACGTGGTGCATAATACCGACAATTTGCGTGCTGCATTTCTGGAAAAAAAAAATTGTGAATGTTAATTTCATAATGGTGAATAAAAACAAAAAATACAATCGCAATTAATTTTATTTATTACATATTACATTTTTCATAATCTTACTCGCATAGAGAGTATTAATTTATAAAATTTAATTGATTAGCAAACTTTGAAGGTGTAAATAGTATGATCACAAATATATTCAGGAAATAATGCTGTTAAAAATATAAAAAATTAATTTTTTTTACAAATTATTTATTTTATTGCCTATATAACATTTTATAGGGCAATAAGTTTAAAAGAAAACAAAACAATTAATTTTTTTTAATAATGACGTAAAAATACGAATATATATTTATTGGTATAATTCTAATGTTTAATTATTCTGTGGATGTGGCTCGGAACCACACCAATATCTTGATATTCAGTCCAATCATCTGAGGACGCATCAGCCAACAACGCCACTAGTCCTTACACAAACCATTTATGAGAATCTCCAATAATTGTGCTAGATACTTTTCTGAAATGCAACAAGATCAGGAAGATTAACTTCATTTATTTTAAAATTTAACATACCTTTTAAAGTGACAGTAGAAGCCTCCCGAAATTTCTGCTTAAGCTGAATTTCGCGATCTTGATTATTTGAAATGCTTTCATTTTTCCCTACAGTTGGTGCTTGCGGTGTTGTAAATGAACTTGGACTCAAGCTGGGGTTGTCTCCATCGCCACTCCCGGTTTCTTCAAAATCCGATGTTGTCGTCGTAGAGGGTTGCACTGTGGCACTTTCAGTGGTTGTGAGAACTAGAATGGTTGTAGGTCCTTCAGTGGTTTGGGGTGTTTGAGGGGTAGTGGACTCTTCAGTAGTTGGGTTTTGAGGGGTAGTGGGATCTTCAGTGTTTTGGGTTTGAGGGGTAGTGGGATCTTCAGTGGTTGGGGTTTGAGGGGTAGTGGGCTCTTCAGTGGTTGGGGTTTGAGGGGTTGTGGGCTCTTCTGTAGTTGGGGTTTGAGGGGTATTGGGATCTTCAGTGGTTTGGGCTTGAGGGGTAGTGGGCTCTTCAGTGGTTGGGGTTTGAGGGGTGGTGGGCTGTTCAGTGTTTTGGGTATGAGGGGTAGTGGGCTCTTCAGTGTTTTGGGTTTGAGGGGTAGTGGGCTCTTCAGTGGTTGGGGTTTGAGGGGTTGTGGGCTCTTCTGTAGTTGGGGTTTGAGGGGTATTGGGATCTTCAGTGGTTTGGGCTTGAGGGGTAGTGGGCTCTTCAGTGGTTGGGGTTTGAGGGGTGGTGGGCTGTTCAGTGTTTTGGGTATGAGGGGTAGTGGGATCTTCAGTGGTTGGGGTTTGAGGGGTTGTGGGCTCTTCAGTAGTTGGGTTTTGAGGGGTAGTGGGATCTTCAGTGGTTGGGGTTTGAGGGGTAGTGGGCTGTTCAGTGGTTGGGGTTTGAGGGGTAGTGGGATCTTCAGTGGTTGGGGTTTGAGGGGTTGTGGGCTCTTCAGTAGTTGGGTTTTGAGGGGTAGTGGGCTCTTCAGTGGTTGGGGTTGTTAGAGGGGTGGTGGGCCCTTCAGCAGTTAGGGGCGTTTGAAGGGTAGTAGGTCCTTCAGTTGATATGGGTGTTAAAGTAGGTGTTTCATTGTGAGTTGTTACCGCAGGTGTTTGCTCTGTTGCTCTTTTAGTAGTTGGGTCATCTGAAGAGATGGATGATGAATCGGAGGATGACGACGAAGAGTCAGAGGATGACGAAGACGAGTCGGAGGACGACGAAGACGAGTCGGAGGAGGACGAAGACGAGTCGGAGGACGACGATGACGAGTCGGAGGACGACGATGACGAGTCGGAGGACGACGCAGACGAGCCGGAGGACGACGAAGACGAGTCAGAGGATGATGACGAGCCGGAGGATGACGAAGATGAATCTGAAGATGAATCAGAGGACGAAGAAAATGATGATGATGATGACTCGGAGGAGGAGGATGAATCTGAGGACGAAGAATATGAGGATGATGATATTGATGTCACAGAATTGAATTGTTCCGAATCATTAATGGCTGAATTGGACCTTGCTTCTCGAATGTCATGTCCAATAAAATCTCCATTTTTATTTATTTTAGTTACATGATATTTTTTATAATTCCTATTATCATTTGTGTTCGTATCTTCATCATTTTCCTTCTTATTGTTCCCATTTTTCGACACCTTATATCCATTACCATATGATTCTTGTCCAAGAGCAAGCACGATGATGGTAATAAATAAAAATATCAGTATGCACCTGCAAATACAAAACATTAGATTTCAAGCTTTGCGTATTACCTTAAGAAACGGCATTGAAACAATTTTGTAATAAGAAGATGGACTAAATTATAAAAAAAAAAACCGGTCTCAAAATGCATAGTTTACAATTGAGGAGAAGTAATTTGAATTTTTCTTTCGGTAAAATTTATATTGATTTCTCGACTTTTTTTGATAGGCAAATGAGGATTTTACTTAATATTTTTAGTTTATGTTCTTTCAAATTTTTTCAAAATAGCACCTAAATTCAAATTTTTTACTGATTATATTTTTGTTCAGACAGCATAAATTAAATTAATATATGCACGTAATAATATTGTATGAACTTAAATTACCGTGTTTCCATCGTTGCAAACAGGAGTATCTCTGCAAACTTCCTTCCTTTACACAGCAATAATTGAATTGAACTTAAATTTATATTAGTGTCACGTATATTTTCTATTATCTCAAATATCTTGCATTTAGAGCATAAAATCTACTTATCGCTGTTTGAAAAATATTTTTGTTTCAAGCATGCTGTTTGTGAGGATATAAATTAAAAATTAATTTTGTTCCAAAGCTCATGTCATAATAGGGTGTTGTGTTTATATAAACTATAAATATTGTGTGTACAAATTTTTTTAATTTAGAGTTTTCTTATTATTATTAAATAGCAAAATATCGCTCAAAAATAATAAATATCCTAAAATTATTTAAATTGTGTAAAAATGTTAGAGAATAGAACTTTAAATCTTTTTGATTTGTTTCCTTAAATTCTTTCACAAGTTTCCCATTGTGTCATATAATGAAAGACTATTTTTATTCGCATTCAATTATTTAGATAATTTATTATTCAATATTTGTGGACCCAGAAACTAGACATCGATCATAAATTTTCCTCTTCGCGCGTATTCGCGCCTCTCATTCATTGATTTCTGCATTGCATCAATTTTTTTATAAATTTTTTCAAAATTGAATTGAAATCATCATCTGAAAAAGTTTTTAAATATCATAATAAACACTTAAATTCCAAATTTATAATACCTGTTATCTGTTTTGTCTTCGTGGCCTTCGTGCTGTCTTTATTCATCCCTTTCCTTCCTCGTCCACGTTTATTGCCAGCGCGTAAATCTGCAGCCAATAGCGTATCGATATTTGGAGTTATAGGCACCCAAGATTGAAGCTCTTTAGGCCAAAAATCGCTCAGTGCCATGGTACCAACGATTATGATTGGCATCAAAATGAGAATTATGCAACTATAATTATAAAACAAACAAAAAATCAAATTAGGCATATATTGTTCTCAAAATTTATAGTTGCACTCACATTTTCATAGCGGAAGTGAACAGAAGGTATAGACTATTTCAGTTTGATAAACGAATTGCGTCTCTTTGACTGCGAGAATCAAAGTCAACTGAAGTACATATGTCGGTTGATAGTATGTGACAGAATGCTCAAACATGCTGACCTAAAAAATTTTGTTTGTGTTTTTCTTCTCTGCTTGATGTTCGCACAAGTGATAAAAAACTTGATATGAGCTTCATTTCATTTTGACGGAAATTCAATATTTGCAAATAATTTGATTGATAATTACACGAAAAAAAATTAATGAAAGAATCAGATTTAAAATATTTATTCCAATATCCTTCTGCGCATAATTGAGCTGTAAGCTAATCTCAACCAATGGCTTCAGTTAAACCTAATCCATAATCCACTTTCACCAAATCAGTCGCATTGACGAAATTCTTCCTTTTCGGATTCACAAATTTATTTCCTTTGATCAATCTTGGCACAAAAAACGGCATCGCGACCCCCTAATGCGGTTCAGCCTCAGTGGTCATCCAAACAGATCCATTCATATAAAATCAAACAACATCCGGCCGTGTCATATGGAATAGCACAGCCAACCCTATTGGATGCAATTTTATATCGGTGTTACCTTACAAAGTACTCACTCACTCATGCCCCCAAGGGAAAATCTATTTATGGGCGCAGCAATGAAAAAGGAATATAATGTTTCCACGCACATTGCCACCCTGGTACGTTTTGAGGGTTTGTGCACAATGTGAGCGAGGAGGAATTCACCGCGCGCCGGCTGGATAAATAAACTGGCATCTCGGCCGCGCATACAAGTACAAGGGACGAATTTCAATGCATTTTTTCACTGTTGTGTGTGCAAACTTGAAAATTGTATTACCCATTGCGAAGGAGCGCTCTGCTTTTGTTGCGATCTCCTCCGTTTCGTTTTCATTCATTCCTCTTTTCACTTTCCATGCTGCTGAGGTCACCTTTTAAATACTCATTTCTGGATATATATATTTAAACTATTTATGTACAATACCTCGGCATGTGGTGTAAAAGGCCAGTTTCCGCATATACATTATGCTTTCTGCCTCCCTTTACAAGTGATTCTGAATTATTTCCAATATCTTATATAAAGATCTGGACCAGGTTAGGTAAATAAATATAAAGCAGATGCTGCGTGTGAATCTGTGAATGTTGGTCAAATATTTGGCTCTTTTGTGACCATCAATTCAAAGCAAAAAATTTGTCTGTTGCGCTTTTCCCGCTTTTAAATATTTTATTTTAAGATTATTCCACGCGGCCTGATTAACTTGTTGCTACATGAAAAGTCGGTCTCTGAAGTGGAATAATATACCCTCTCATGGCGAGAGGGAAACATTATTCAAATAAATAATTCACCCCCTGTGTGTGCTGCTCTTGGACCCTCTTGGTTTTTATTTGGTTTCTTTTATTACCAAGATTAATTGCTTCGATTGCCCAGTTGTGCATAAACAACAAAAAGTAACCGGCTTCGGAACTATTTCTTTCAACACTTGACGACGTTTTACTGCATTCATTACATCTGAAATGACGCCACATCATCAGCACTATAGAAATAGTAAAAAGAGACAATAAAACCTCTCGAATTTCTTGTTGATACAAAGGAGTGGAAAAGGGGAGTTGTTTGATAGCAAACCATAGTAACTGCTTTTATCCCTTGTTACATTCTTTAATTCCTTAATTCCCAGCAGTGAAAATATTTTACGGAGAAAAATTTTATACAGTTTCAAAGCTTTCATTCCCACAGATAATCATGTAGGGTTTGTAGGAGCTAACAGATGTAAATAAATAATATATTAAGAAGTTGTAAGTTTAAAAAAAAAACTATTATTCCATATGATAAATTAATCGAAAACTGAAACATAATTCAAACAATTGAAGTTCAGTAGTTAAGGCATGCATTGTTATTTTTGTGGTTTGCATTTATATTTTATGGAATTAAAAACAGTGTCAAAGAAAATTGGTATAATATTAATCTCACATCAGCAAATACAATTTTTTTTTCAAAACATTGCCATGAAAAATTATATTCACAAATATTGCTCATATCAATACTAAAAAGTGTATTTAAAAAATCTTATCATCGTGATTTTATCACGATAATTATAAAATTTAAATGATATTTTTTTTTTTATCAAAAATAATTTATTACTCTAAGCTCTGGTAATCTAGTTTCTCAATTTTTTATAAATTTAATGAATACTGCACAATGAAATATTTTTCCTTTATCTTTAATAATACTTTTCCCATCACAAAAAATTTTGAAATATTATTATTTATGAAATTTAACTTTCTCGGCAGTTCATTATAAAAATTCAATTCCACTTAATTTTATTGCTGCTCGTTTCCCTACAATTTCCTTATCGCCATAAATCATCTCGTCGTTCAATTAATAGAATGAGCGTTTACACTCCCTCACTTAATCAACGCTTCAAGCATCCTTCATGTGAATAAATGTGAGCGCAAATGTCACGGTCGCGAAACGGAACATGAAAAGCAGAAAAGTATAATCCTGTTGCAAGGGCATCATCAGACCGGATTACGGGCCACGCATACAAAAGCAGGATAAAATGATAGAGGGATGAGATCATAATGCATACAGCAGCCAAAAAAAGCAGCTAGCGCAGCAACCAGACAACCCCAAATTTTAATCTCTCTTTAACTTCTTTAGCGTCTGCAGACACCTGCGTGTCACTACATCCATTTGTCACTCGCCACTTGAGGGATTTGATGAAGGTTTATTCCAAAGGGTACCTTTCATATTAATTTTTTATTCATATAAACCTATAAAAGAGTCACTCGGTGGAAATTTTATATTGTAGCCGTAAAATCGCTCTCCAACTTTTCTCCACAAAGTGGCCGCAGGGTGGCATCGCTCCACACTAAGGGGTTATAATTATTATTATTTTTAAAATTACTATACGCCTCTTCGAAATAAATATATTTATAAGATCGGTTCTAGAAACTGTCATACAAAAATTCGCCACGATCCCTTTTGCTCCTGGCAGTTAGTTATATTGTGTTTTTTTTTTATCGCACGGTCATCTGCGCAAGCATCAGGTATAAGAGAGATTAAAAATAATTGGTCCCTCTGCTGAAGATTGAACAGGTTACCGAAAACCGCAGCGAGCAAATCGTATTAGTTATCGGTGGTCGTTTATCAAATGTCACTCACACTCGAACGCCTCTCTTAATTCAATTAAAAAATCTGTCACTGATTGAAACCTTGCCTTAGAAATGCGATTTAATATCGTCGGCGTGGCCAATTCAGGTACCGTTTCTTAAAGTTATTTTTAGCACAAGATATTGCACATAATTAATTAGTTAAGAAAATATAGAGTCCTGTTATATTTGATGATAATAAAAATTAAAAACTGTTGGAGAAAGAAAACCTTTTTTATATTTCTGTAAATTTTACAATATAATTAACACATAAAATGTTTTGGAATTTATGATAGTACAATTAATTTCCTTCTGTTCTGATTCAAAAGGCTGATTTTTAATACAAGAAAACTGTACTAATTCGCTCAAGCAGATTTTTTCAAGATATTATGATTAATATCAAATTCAATCAAAAATTGAATATTCAATTGAATATTCATATTTTTGTAAAATAAGATATTAATCAATAAGTTCATTATTTCATAGCCGCTTTTTTGAAATAGACTATTATATTTATTTTAAAATTGGAAGTACAAACTTCCACTTTCAAGCTAAATTCTTTATGAAAATTAAATATATTTAAAAGCTCAAATCCGCTACTTATTGTAAGCTTCATTTCAGTATAATAGACCGCGTGTTCTTTTCTCTCTTGGACCCCCTGCCGGGCCCAAATGATGGACACAGGAAGTTGCCCCGGCGGTTTCTACAAAGCGAGATGCAAGAAAAACACTCGAGTTAGACAAGGGCCGAAAAAGAGGCGGGCGACCACCCTTAAGAAAACGAACCTCAGGTGCTCCGCTTTTACATCCATTTAGGCCGTACATGTGTATTAGCGGCACATTGTGTTTGAACACATTTTCCTAAAATCTCATCTATTTGCGAGGCGCACAAAAGGTGACGGCCTGCACCCACCCCAGTGCAGCCACCCCCGGGGCAACCCGTTCGAGTAAATAATAATATTATATTCAGTGGCCACACGACAGCTTGAGACGTTTGAAAGGGAAGACGCCAGCAGCGGCAGCATTCGTCTTGTGTGGCTCTTGAGACGACAGGCTTGACAGCAGAAAGGGTTGCGCGCGGCCGCTAATCTCGTCCTTTTGATCTGCTTTACCTCGCAAGAGAAATTTGGTGTTTGTTCATGGACATCTAAAAACGGTACAAAACATTTGTCCTTAAGCAAAAATAAAATTTTGATGGTTAATTTAAGAATAAATCAAAATAGATAGAACTCAGTGTAACTGAAAAATTTATTGCAATTTCAATGCATGTTTTATGATAAGTTTAGTGTAGTTCTTCATGGCAGTTGTAACCTTGTAATAAAATTATTCAATATTTAGTCTGCTGTGTAAATTTTGAAAAATCTATTTAAGAAAACAATGGCAAAACTTTAGTCAAATAAGAAAACATTAACAAAATAATTATATAAAAATTGCTTAAAAAATTTATTTTGAATGGGTTTATTGCTTTTCTGTAACAGTTATTTTAATTTATTATTATTAAATTGCTGTGTAAAAAAACTATTAACCTCATTAAAGAAGTATTCAGCAGTTCCTTAATCCGTTTAAGTGCCACTCTTCAACCAGTTGCAAAGTTCGAGTATTATTTCCAAGCTAATCATAAATTTGCTGAATATGTCAGATTTTCTAAAAGGACTTTACCTGTGTGTACATATCGTAACCAAAGAAGAAGATATTTGAAACTTCTCATATAATAATTCTCTCTAATATTCCATTTTTCTAGAAATATTTCCCGTTGCCTTATATATGTTTTGTGAACTGATTTTAAATGTTATTTTTCATATTTGATCACCATGAGTGAATGCATTGGCCATCAAGATACACTTGTAAAAAATCACAGCGAAGCATAAATTTTCTCTTTAAAAAATTACGTCCTGTTTGAAACCTTCGCCTATTATTTATGAATACGGCACGTGAATTGTTATATATTTGCATTTTTTTTACCGTGTCGTGACACAAAGAGAGAGGATGCAGCCGAGCTTTTTACGCAATTTCGCCAGTTTTCTGGTAATCCGGCGTGATGTAAAGGATTATCGGAGAGCAGATGCGCGCACCTTTCCATTTTTCTCACACTGCGCGAGTCCGGAATGCCATTGTTGCGCGCTCCGTTCAAAAGAAGCACCACTTTTTTACTCGTTTTCAATCACTCGGGGGTGCGTTATTTTTTAGTGAAAAACGGGAAATCGTTCGTGTGACAGTGACATAGGTGGTGAGGGGTATCAAATGATCAAAGATCTGGAAATTGATAAGCCACCTGTGAATAGGCCTTGAGAATATAGCATTTTATAATGCATCAAAGGAGCTGCCGAGGGATGAATCTATTTTCAAAACTCTTCGTTAAATTTGCCTCTTTTTTCTGGCGCAACCACCCTCTCATTTTTGGGGTTTGATTGTGAAGTAGCGCTGACAAAATATCAAGGAGATGCCTCCGCATTGAAGAGGTCCTTATTTATTGGTTTTGAAAAAAAATCTGCGCAGCTGTCAGAAAATAATTAATAAAAAAATGACAAATAATTTAGAGGATATTAAAACCTAGTCTTTGTTAAAAAGTGCTTTTACTTTTGCCGTTTCCCTTCTCTTTCTGGCGGTCTAAACGCCTGAGGGTTAATGCAACACCGCTTCACACTTATGCGCTTCCGCAGGGGAGAATTTCAGGGGCTCATCCAAGAACTGAAATTTGAGAAAGACAGCAATTAATGATTTGCGATTTGCTTAAAATGAAATTGCCTTAAAAAATTTTCAAGGTTGTTTTTTGTTAAATTTTTTACATAATTTTTCATTTCAAAATATTCCTACTTTTAAAGTGAACAAAATTTCCACTTTCTTGGTTTGGAGTGATTCCATCAAGGTCTGACACGAAGGTACTCGTTGGGTATTATCAAAAGGAAAAGGGTTATTTGGAACAATAAAATGCCTTGGGCGGAAAAGCATTTTGATAAAAAAAAAGGCAATTAGAGTTTCCCCGTTTTTATCAGTTGACAGCCGGATGTAAATTTTATGTTTTCAAAATTTAAAAAAGACAGAATGGTTTTCTTCTAAAATGTTTAAATTTTATTAAATTAATAAAAATTCACGGGTCAACTTTTATTCCGGTTTTTCCTGAGATCCAGCCCAAAAAACTGGAGACCCTGGAATATCCGGTGGGCGAATTCTGGCAAGATTTTGCAGAGCCAAAAGATACAACGCCTATTATGGTTTCCTTTCCATCTGTACCCTTGTAGGTCAGCGAACCACCACTGTCCCCCTTTTTGAAAATCATATCAATTAGTAAGAGGTGATTTAAAAAAAGTGCTATACTCCGCAAATCGTTTTTGAGGAACTGGTAGAAGTGCAAATCACCGACGATCGAATGTAATAAAAACCGTAGACACTTGCACATTTCACGTTTGTGACTGTGTTGAGCGTGACGTAGTTCAAGTCTGTGTTAGCGAGTCCACCTAAATTAATCTCGGATTTCAGGATTACTTAATTATTAAAATTTTTTCTTACTGGGTGTTTTTCCATAACCACTGGCAGTTACCTTTATGTTAGCAAACGATTTTTTTGCGTCCGAAATTTTTGGCAATTTCACGGCGTTGATATAAGAGTCTAATTTTTACTTTTGTTTGGATTTTAAGTATTAAATTTAAATAAATAAATCCATACTGAATGTGTATGCCTTGGGGATTTTAATGAGTGCGACGTCGTTTGCCAGATCAATCGAGTTGTAAAATTCGTGCACTATTGTTGTGATGGATGTTTGCATAACTTCGCCCGCTTCATTTGACAATCGGTTAACTCCGCCGGCAGTCACCACTATTCTTTTAGATCTTTTTGCGAATTATAGGCTGGTTGAAAAAAGGAATTTAGAAGAAATTTGATTACTTGTAAACGCAATGGGCCGCAGTCAGAACCCAGATGGGGGAAATGATTGATCCACCACACAACCACGTGTCATCAATGTGCAAATACACCTGCCACGGAATCATTTCCTGAGTTGCTTTTGCTCCGCCGATTATTTGGCTTTGTACTAACTTTGCAGCCTGTCCAGCATTAACTTATATTAAGAAAACAAAAATATAATTTAGAAATATCCTGAAGTTGATTTTTACAAATGAAATGTATAAAATTCATATATTGTATCATATAATGTATTCACAATTGTAATTAATTATTGTAGTTCTACTTGAAAAAATATTTATCTCCTATAGGCTGGTTGTTAGAATTTGTAAACGCTTAAATGGCAAATTAAGAAGTAAAATATTTTAAAAATATCCATAAGTTAATTTTAGCAAATGAAATTATATAAAATTATGCGGAATTTCATATATTGTATTCACAATTGTAATGAATTTTTTTTTCAGGGCTACTTGAAAAATATTAATCTCCTATCTGATGTTTCTGTGAAATGAATTTGTAGCAAATGTAATTTTATTTGAATTTTTTCCATAATTACTGTCCCTTTTATAATAATAAGCGTGAACACAATATTTTTTTTTTTAATACAGGGAAGCAGACCGCTGGTCACCATTTGAGATCAGTTGTCTTTTCTATTTTTTTCATCAAAGTCAATTTTTTATCCTACCGTTTTGAGGTTTTTTCCCTCTTGGTGTAAAATCCAGCCTAGGTTTGCTTCTTGGGTCCTTTTCGAATATCGATAGCTCCGTTTTAGTGATTTTGGTCTTGTTTGCGTTACGATCTCTCATTATCATTTTCAATGCTCTAGGCGTATTAAAACTGGCTTGCTGAATTGAAAGTCAATATTGATTTAAAATAATTAAAATATTCTGCATTTTTTTTTTACCTGGCTCAAGGAAATTCCGGCCAAAAGGACGAGCAGTACAACTGGGACGGCGTTCATTTTGAAACTGACTTTCACTTTTTTTAAATGTCAACACGCGCTAACAAAAAACGTATTTTATTAAATGGGCCATTAAACAGACAAGTGCGATTCTGTAGTTAATTTTTTTTTTTAAATTTACTTTCAATTTTATATTTTAATGCTTTGTCAAGAATATCACATTCAAAGAAACAACCCTTTCTCTTCCATTTTTTTTTTCAATTATATTCAAAGAAAGAAGTATCAAATGTGCTTTGACTTCATTTTTCTTGGACAAATTTTATTTTTAAACCTAAATAATTATTTGATAGAGAATTCAGAAATTTGTTTTGCTTGATTTCCCCTGATTTTATATTTTCTTACTAATGTATTAATTTTTTTAATGATAACCTTTTTCTCTTGGCCTCTAATTACCTATTTTGGCGTTAAAATTCAAATATCGTATTAATTAATAGTTTTGTTCATAACAATAGTAATCCACATGATTTTCCTCATAAATTCTTTTTAAACTGAATATAAACCATTTAGCACTCTTTTAACACCCATTTAATCCAAAATGATTCGCACTGTCACGTTATTTTTTCTTTGTAGCTGCTTCTTCTAGTCATCTTCACCATGTTCTTTCTAAATGAATGATCTTCTGAAATTCCGATTTATTTGGATAAATTTTCAAACCAAACAAGATTCATTGAAACTTTTAGAAGATTAATTTTATTTCAAACATGTTTGATTCGTCTCAAGAAAAGCAATCAAAAGTAAATGGGTAAAACAAATCGTTGATCTTCCGACTGTGACCTTTTATTTTTTAAGGTCTTATTTGAATGTTTGTTGCACTCGAGATGTTCCCGAGGTACGAAGGGACTCTGGTCAATCCACTGGGATATTTGATGCACCATAAAGAACCAAAGGACACAATCCCCAGTAATGTGAATTTCCCATCTGCTTCTTTCACGAATTTTCGCCGAACATAGTCGTATTTTTGTTTCAATTTATTTCAATTGTAAATAAATTTATTTTTAAAACTTTTATTATTAGGTGACTTTGATATTTGTAGAGTTCGAAATGAATCTAAGGTAGGAACGAACTCTGGTGTAGCCATTTGGGTAATTGGCGCAGGTCACAGCTCCGAAAGAAACGACACCATAAACTCTGTACAGTTTGTCGGTGCCCATTTTCACCGCTGCTTCTCCACTGTCTCCCTTTATCAATGCTTAATTGAAATTTCTAATCAGAAAAAGAGCTTTATTATTTATACTAACGCCACAGATTGCTTTGGTGTTGTGCGCGGCCGTGCAAAACATGCTAGGAAAAATATTCGAAGCGCCGAAAACTTTGGCACAGTCCGAGTTCTTTATCACTTTCAGCGTGACGTACATCAAGTAGGGGCTCACAGAGCCGTCTAAAATTATTATTATTTTTGTCAATACAATTTCACTGAAACGTTAAATTTTTACTTATTGATGTTAAGCCATATCCTGAAACCATAACGTTGTCACCGACCTGAAGTACTTCTTTCAACTTAGGCAACAGAACTGCGTTTCTGTACTTTGCTAAATTGGTTAAAAATGAGCATTTTAACTATTACACGGTGATATAAAAAAATTTTAAGAGGAAAGTTTAAATTAGTTTGAAGTATATTTTAAGTCTTACTGAAAACAAAATCCACATCACAAAAAATCAGTGCTATGTCATTCTGCAAAGTGTCGTGATTGTAATTTGGATGAACAATAGCCCTGCTTGGAGTCTGTACGTTCTCCCCAGTCTCGTTCAAATTTAATCGGTTTATTCCTCCAGCATCAACGATAAAATTACTAGCGCTAATTTTTAAATAAATAAAATAAAATTTAATACAAATAGTAAAAATAAAAAATACCCGTAACAGCAGTGGCCGGCTGTCAAGACCCATTTTTCAGAAATCAGAGTTCCACCACACATCCACATAAAGTCAACGTAAATCAAAACTTGCCATGGAATTTGCATAGGTATCGCCTCATTCCCTCCTAATACCAAATCCTCTGTGGGTATTTCTTGGTCATTTAATTGGCCAGCATTTGCTAAAATTAAAATATAATTTTCTTTTTCTTTTTTTTTCGGAAATTAATTGATCAACTAAAACTCACCCGGCGTTGTGTTTTTTCCTTTCTGATACCTACCCAAGCTTGGGCGGTTGAATTTTGTTTTGATCCGGGCATTTCTTTGAATTGCCAATACTCGGCTTCGAAACATAGTATAGTTATTTTTTGTCTCTGCTATCACCTTTCAAGATCTTTCTTAATTGATATTGAACAAGACTTAAATAATATCTGACCTGTAGCATAGAAGAAAAAACGACGCAAATGGTTATGAAATGCACATACATCATTCACTGTCCTTCATACAACTAGTGCGAAACGATTGTGAGCCAAATGTCACCATCTGTTATCTCTTTGCCAACGCAAATAGAGTAAGCTCTATGCGCTCTATTGCAACAGTATATTATGCATATTTATAGTATTTTATTATGGGCTCGGAAATTATTTAAATAAATACAAAGGCGCAAATCTTGTAGCATTTTGATGAAACGTCAAATTTTGTATTGAATTTTTCCAATCAGAATCTCGGAATTGTTAAAATAATTATTTTTAAAATTCTTAAAGAAAGTTTATAATTTCATTTTTGATGACTCTAGACTTCCAAAATGTCATGTTTTTTCTTATTTTTACTGAGGTTAACTTATTCCAAGAATATAATTAAAAAATATATTGTGTGATGTTATTTACCTTCTTAGTAATCGTTTATTGAAATCAATTTTCATTAACTTTAATATTAGTCTGGCTTGAAATCCAGCCAAGAAAACTAGTGACTCTGGTGAAGCCTGCTGGAGACTCTGTACATATGTCTCCACTGAAAGACACTATTCCAATCAGGACGTGACCGTCAGCTCGTTTTTGAACCAATGGCCCGCCGCTATCTCCCTGTTAATAAACAAAAATGGAAATTCACAATTTGTAATAATTGTCATTTGTTGAATTATATCGTACGCTGCAAATTTGCTTGAAATCATACTTTGCTGTGCAAATGTTCGTAGAAGGAATTGGAGCGCCAAAACTATTTGAACAAGCCGTGTTTGATATGACCTTGACATCAATAAAACTCAAGTAATTGCTTGCAGGTCCGGCTATGAGAAAATTAATTAATATTAGAAAATAACAAAGTATAAAAAAAAATAAACAGCATTAATTCAAATTTTTTTTAAAAAAAAAAGCAGTACTGGTTAAGCATTTTCTTAAAAAAAAAAAAAAAAAAAAACAGTTTTTTGTTCAATTAATTTTAAAAATCAGATTAAAATGAATTACTGTTTCGTGTCATGCCATAGCCACTGACGGTCAGCAATGCATTGACAAATGTTTTACTCGCCTCAGCCATACTTGGGAGTTTGATGAAGAAAATGTTAGTGCCTGTATTAAGTATTGCTGTTATAAGTAAATTTTTATAAGATTTGCACAACACGGACTCAAGGTATATGGGTTTGGCAGCTTAATGAGTCCAATATCATTTGTGATGTTTGTTGCATCGTAGGCTTCATGCACAATTGCTTCCGTTGACGTTTGCACAATTTCGCCGGTCTCATTTGACGTGATGTCAATGCCACCGGCACTGATTACGAAAGAAGTACCTCTGAAAATATTTTTGTATATTAATTTTATTTTTTAGGTTTGGCAAGATGTCCGTGTATTAGTCCGTAAGCAGACTTTAAAGGCAAGTGAATAAAAATTCTTATTTATTAATTATTATATTTTTTATGTTTTAAAATTCAACTCAATTGAAGTATTTTAAAAGTGTATAAAATATAAAATATTTGTTAAAAAAAATTTACCCATCCACACAATGTGCGGCTGTTACAACCCAATTTTTGGAGATAATTGATCCTCCACAAACCCAGCTGTCATCAGCATTAAGATGAATTTGCCATGGGAATTTCTTTTGCTGTGCTTTCCTGCCGCCAATAATTTGCTTCTCAATTGCACCTGAAAATAAGTATTTATTTCTCTTTCATCCAGAAAATGGCCAAATTCGAACCAGTTTGCGGTTCTTTTCCAGTAGGCTTGAAATCCAGCTTGGGTGTGTTGATTGCTCTATTCTGGCTCGCAGTTAAAACAAATTTTTTTGCTCCAGAAATCTTAGGACGGATGTTGCGTTTGAAAGTCAAGGCTGAGATCTAAATGGTTAATGTTAAAACAGTATTCGTCAGGAAAAATCATAATATTGTATACTTTTAAAACAAAAAGAGAAAGTACAATTAAAAAACATGACTTCAAAAGAACAGGCATAGTTTTGCACTATTCGCAAAAGCTGCGCCGTTATGGTTCAGTTTCCGCTTTGCATGCACAGAACGAAAACGTGCGTCATTTCAAAACTTTCCATCCGGGAAAGCAAAGGATCGACTTTCAACTTCCAATAAAATTTCCATGGTCCAACTTGACTGTGACCCAAATTCAGTAATAAGTAATAATTTGTGTCGACCTATATCTATATAATTTCAACTCGGCACGTAACCACGTTAGATTTTTAAACACGTAACGCAATAAATTATTTCAGATTTGTCAGACCTTTTTCTTAACGTTCTGTATTATTATTCTATTAATACTTTCCTTCATAAAACTATTCTATTCCAAGAAGAAATCTAGTATAAATATTAATAATAAATTGCAATTAAATGGGTTAGTATATAACGATGCAAATTCCAACATTTTCTTTTCTGAAGAACGTTTTTTGGGAAAAGAGTAAAGAATCCTTTCTTTTTTGTAAAATGCAAATTGATGGTGACACATTTCAGTGATAAGAGTCGTATATCCAAATGTGATAATAAAAAGGACTCTAGGAGATGCCACGTAAAACTTCTATGATGTTCTTCAATGCAGAGTTAGTTAATATTTCACTCTTTATTTCAGTAAAAAATTTAATATTTACTATATCTAACGCCACATAAGCACCGCAGTATCAAAATTAAGTCCTGTTGTGTCCGATAGCCAACAAATGGACTTAACTATAGCAAAGAAGCTTGGTAATTGTTGAAGAAAATCCATGCTCCGAAGCTGATAATCCAAATCTAGGGTATAATTATGGTATTACCGATTTGAATGGTCAAGCTGTCTCCCTATTCGAACGGAAAAACACAAAGGAGTAAAATTTATCAAGAAATTTCATAATTTGGGAACTATTTGGTGATGAAATGTTCAAAACAAAAAAGACTCTTTAAAACTTTCGGAAAATTCATTATATTTCAAACGTGATTGATTCGTCCCAAGTAAAGCAATCAAAAGTCAAACGGTAAACGAATCAAGAATCTTCCGCTTTTGACCTTTTGGTTTTCAAGGTCTAATTTGAATGTTTGTTACATTCGAAATGTATCCAACGTATGAAGGGACTCTGGTGAATCCAGAGGGATTTTGGTTGCAAGATGACGAAGAACCATATGACACAACTCCCAGTAATGTGAATTTCCCATCTGCCTCTTTGTATACCATTGGACCACCGCTATCCCCCTGAGAATAATATTTATTTAATTATTAATTGTTAAAAAGAAATATCATTTTTAAACATATACACTGCATGTCGATTTATCTGGATAGGCGGCAGTACAGATTGTTGTTGACAGAACATATCTGCTTCCATACTTTTTCATACACTGGGCATTTGAAATAGTTAACAAGCTCACAAACTTAAGGACATTGCTTGGTGCAGCGGCTGTAAAAATATTTCATAAAAATCTATGTGTAGATATTTATAGTTCTCATTTTACTGTTAGAAGTTTTTCCATATCCACTCACAGTGATGTTTGTACCAACAAACGTGTTGGTCGCGTCCGACGTTTTTGGAAGGCGAATTACATTTACAAAGTCATCTGAATTAAAATTTTAGATTAACTTTAAGACAAATATTGAATTACCTAGTGTGAAAGGTGATGAGAATTGCAAAAATGCAATATCATTTGCCAAAGTTCCTGAATTAAAATTAGGGTGCGTAAATCCTTTGGCAGCTGTGGCCATTTGTTCCCCTGTCTCTGTGTTGCTGCTCCGGCTGATGCCTCCCACATTCACCACCCAAGTACTAAAGCTAATCGCAGCATATTTCAGTTAATTTTAACCTGAAAAATTTTCTTACCCTGATACGCAATGTCCAGCAGTGACCACATAAGTTGCAGAAATCAGACTCCCACCGCAAAGGTAAGAACTGTCAATTGACACTTGCGCTTGCCACGGGAACTGTTTTTGAGCAGCATTTTGGCCACCGATTATTTGATCCTTGATTTTCACATTTGAAACGCCAGCCGAGCCTGAAATAATTTATAATTAATTAAAAAAACTTCTACCTTAGTTTTGTCTCACTTGGTTGAGCAATATTTCCAATAGGAATGGAATCTAACTTTGGTCTATTATTTTTGTTCTTGATGTAATTCTGTACTTCCTGTTTTGAGACTTTCACCACCGGCCATTCCTTGAACAAAGACTGCAAATTGCCAATGGCATCGTCACCTTTCACCTTGAAAACGAATATTAGTATTTGCTTGGCTGAGGAACACAGAAATTACCCAAAAAGAAATAATTATGAGAACAAGAGAAACTGTAAATTTCAACATGTTGTCTGTTCTGAAGAAGGTTATTTTTTGAAAGCGGAAAGAATCCTTATTTTTGTGAAATGCAGACTGTTGGTGACTTAATTCAGTGATAAGAGTCGTATAATCAAATGTGATAATAAAAAAGACCCTTGGGGTCGCCATGTTCTTCAATGTTCTTCAATGAGGAGTTCCTTATTATTTAATTTTTAATTGCAATAAAAAAATATACTATTTACTAAAAATAATGCCACGCGAGGGAGAAATTAAATCATATTCAATTTCAGCACCGCAGTATCAAAATTAAGTCTTGTTTTTTTTCCCGATAGCGTAACCATAAAGGACGGCACTGTAGCGAAGCAGCTGGTAATTGTAATCAATTAAATACGTCAACGGCCCTCCGCTGGCACCCTGGTCAAAGCGATAGTCACAAACGAGTAGCAAAAAATTTCATTACTTGATAAATTTAATTGGTGATAATTTATAAATCAAATAACATTTTTTAAACTCTCGGAAAATTCATTTTATTGCAAACGTGTTTGATTCGTCCCAAGAAAAGCAATCAAAAATGAAAAGGTTAACGAATCGTGAATCTTCCGATTTTGACCTTTTATTTTTTAAGGTCTGATTTGAATGTTAGTTACATTTGAAATGTATCCAACGTATGAAGGGACTCTAGTGAAACCAGTGGGATTTTGGTTGCATGATGACGAAGATCCATAGGACACAATTCCGAGTAAAGTGAATTTCCCATCTGCCTCTTTATATACCATTGGACCACCGCTATCCCCCTGAGATAATTATTCATTTATTTTTTTTCAATAATAATATAATTTTGAAATATATACATTGCATGTCGATTTATCTGGATAGGCGGCAGTACAGATTGTTGTTGACAGAACATATCTGCTTCCATACTTTTGCATACACTGGGCATTTGAAATAGTTAACAAGCTCACAAACATAAGGGCATTGCTTGGCCCAGCAGCTGTAAAAATTAAACGTAAGAAATATTATTCAAGATATGTTTCAGTTTTTATTTTACTGTTAGAAGTTTTTCCATATCCACTCACAGTGACGGTAGTACCAACAAAACTGTTGGTCGCGTCCGACGTTTTTGGAAGGCGAATTACATTTACAAAGTCATCTGAATTAAATTAATTAGATTAACTTATAGACAAATATTGAATTACCTAGTGTGAAAGGTGATGAGAATTGCAAAAATGCAATATCATTTGCCAAAGTCCCTGAATTAAAATTAGGGTGTGTAAACCCTTTGGCAGCTGTAGCCCTTTGTTCCCCTGTCTCTGTGTTGCTGCTCCTGCTGATGCCTCCAATATACACCACCCAAGTACTAAAGCTAATCTCGCAGTATATTTCAGTTAATTTTAACCTGAAAATTTTTTCTTACCCTGATACGCAATGTCCAGCAGTGACCACGAAATTTGTGGAAATCAGACTTCCACCGCAGAGATACGAATTGTCAATTGACACTTGTGCTTGCCACGGGAACTGTTTTTGAGCTGCATTCTGGCCGCCGATTATTTGATCCTTGATTTTCACATTTGAAACGCCAGCCGAGCCTGAAATTAATGAATTATTATTAAACAAAAAAAAAATCTACCTTGTCTCACTTGGTTGAGCAACATTTCCCTTTGGAACGGAATCTAACTTAGGCCTATTATTTTTTTCCCTGATGTATTTCTCAACTTCCTTTTTTGAGACTTTCACCACCGGCCATTCCTTGAACAAAGACTGCAAATCGCTAATTGCATCGTCACCTTTCACCTTGAAAACGAATATTAGTATTTGCTTGGCTGAGGAACGCAGAAATTACCCCAAATAATATAGTTATGAGGACAAGAGAAATTGTAAATTTCAACATGTTGACTTTTCAGAAGAAACCTTTTTTGTGAAAGCGGAAAGAAACCTGCCTTGGGTAAAATGCAGACTTTTGGTGACGCACTTTCCTGATAAGAGTCGTACAATCAAAAAGCCCATTGGGGTTGCCAAGTACATAAAACTTCACAGTTTTTCAACGTAGAGACTTTAATTACTTTATTTTTGTATGCTATCTTTATCCATATAGAGGAATAAATAAATTATAATTTTTCTTTTTAAGCATCAGTATCAAAATTTTAGTGATGTTGTGTCCGACAGCCAACCCAAAAAGGACGTCACTCTAGTAAAGCAGCTGGGGTAATTGTTGCAGGAAATCGATGCCCCGAAACTGACGATCCCAATCTGGTATAAAACATTTCCGATTAGAGCAGTCAACGGACCTCCGCTGTCACCCTGTCCAAATGAAAAGTCACAACGTGCAAAATGTATCAAGAAATTGCTAACATTGCAAGTTGCCTTGACTGGGTCAGCGACTGTGCAAATGATTTTTGACGTCACTTTTTCCACACCAAACACACCGGCCGCGACAGTATTGTTCCCAACCACAAGCCCAACACGCATCAAAAAATCACTCGCATTCCCTCCTGAAATTTATTTTGTCAATAATTAAACTTTAATTTTTAAAATAATAAATATTTCACACTGGTTGAGGTGAGTCCATATCCACTGGCAGTGACGTTTTGGTTCACAAACGATTGGTTGGCTAGATTCACGCTAGGTATTTTTATAACTTGAATTGTTTGTGCTGAAATTTCCGTTCAGTTTTATTTAATTGTGAAAAATTTTCAAATTTAAAACAGTAAAATGATTGCAACTTGAATGTTAAAAAATTATGATTTACTATAAAGGAAATATGAATCTCGAGATCAATTAATTAAAGAGTGCAAAAGGGGGTCTGGTGGGAAAATTTTCTCATTATCAAACGCCCTAAAGTTTTTAATTTTTTTAGAATGCCGATAAATCTGATTTTTTCAAGTTTTGCATTGAGTTAATTCACTAGTAAGAACGTTGGTCAATATAAACCAATAATATTCTAATTGTTATAAGTTTAAAAAAAATACATATTAATATGATTTACAAAGTGTAACTGGTCTCAGCAGTTTGATGCATGCAATGTCGTTCTGCAAAGTAATTGAGTTGTATTGTGGATGTGCAATGGAAACATTTGTCTCAGCTATGTATTCCCCTGTTTCATTTACACTTCGCTGGATTCCTCCTATTGAGATGATAAAAGTAGTGCAACTGTAAAATTAGGTATAGTAATTATTAATTGCATTCCTCTGTACAAGAATTTTTATTAACTGCTGTAAAAATGTTTTTATATTTTAGGTGTTTTAATATGCGTGTTTGCATTAATAGACATACGCAATACAGAGCTCACTCATTATTATTATTATCTTGTTTTGAATTGTAAGTAAATTGTTGAAATAATTTTTATTTTGAAATTAGAGTTTTTATAATTAGAGTGACATGTACGAAATAGACATGAGAAACTTCATTTGCTGTCCGCGATCTTCAAATTTATTATTGACTATTTTATTTTCAATAATTATGTTTTTTATTAATGAACTTCGATGTCCCTTGAAGCTTTTAATCAATACTTACTTTATAACGCAATGTGCAGCGGTCAAAACCCACTGGTTACTTATTAACGATCCTCCACAGAGCCATCTGCCCTTGCAAATTATGAGAGCTTGGTAAGGCACAGCACCAGTGGTTGCCTTATCACCACCCACTGCTCATTCTACATGAAAATTACTGCACTATTACAGATTAAATACATACATATCGTTTTTGCAGTTCGTGAATTTTTTGGTTGAGGTTTTTTGCGTAGAGGCGATGTTTTATAGTCCACGGTAAAAATGGGCATGTATTTGCTCAAAGTATCCAAACTTTCGTTTTTGATGCCGGTGTTAACCTGTTTAAAACTAAGGCTCGCAGCATTTGCTAAATCAGTGGCCAAAGAATTAATGCTCTTAGCTGCAGCATTTGCCTGACAACATAGTAAATTTTGGTATTTTGTCTCAAATCAATTTGAAATTACCTGTAAAAATAAGCAGATATTGCCGAGAAAAAGCATCAAGAACTTTACCATCTTCACAAGACGACGCCTCTATACGTAACTAGGCATGAAGTCTTGCGTATGACGCAATTTTTTGTTTATCGCTCTGACCTGAATTCTTGCTGTTTGTATTTTAAAAATCGGCACACATGAGAGATTCTTTTGAATTTATATTTTAAATATTATTTATTTTATTTTGAGCGAGCGATGATTGAAAGCATTGTTTTTCAAGTTTTGTGTTCACAGTGAAACAACACAAGAAAGAAAAATATTTATTAATAGAAACTGCATGTACTAAAGAACATTATGTAAAAAAGCGCAATGAAATTTTTTAATAGCCGTAATTGGTATTTACTATAGAAATGAGGATTTTTAGCTTATACGCAGATTCTGCTTATTCACTAACTTTTAAACTAAATCTTTTATTTTTTGCACTTTCTATACCCATCAATATAGCTGTTTTTTTTTATGGAATATTTTATTTTAAAAATTTATTTTTAGAGTTCAATTCTTTTCCGATTCATTCAATCCTATAAAAATAACGGTTCACTTACTTTGTGAGAGAGACAGGGGCTGGCTATGCTACCTTCTCGACTCTCATGCCACGCTGGTTGCCTGCTCACTCTAGCCCGCAGGTTGGAAGAGAGGGCAAACAGGTTTTTCGCCTCTATTTTGTCAACTGGGTGGCCGCCGAATTTTTATAATAGAGTTCTTTCTCATTACATGCGAATGCATTAGTCAAAGGCAAAAACTACGCGTGTGTCCTAACTGCGCTCGCTCGTTTTACTGGCCATTTATTTTTATTTCGCGTTTTTTTCCTCACGTGAATGGTAGCAGTCTCGAGAGTTGTAAAACCTGAAGACGTTCCTTTCAAGATATATATTCACTCAATGTGTGTGGCAAGGCAGAAATTGACCAATTTATAAGTAATTTTTATTATCTTCGTCGCCTGAATTTCTCAGAAAACGGTTCTGGCAAGGTCTTGAATTAACTTATCTTAAAATTAAAAATAATCATCAATAAAAATTCGTCAAATTTATTTACACATTTGATTTAACTTTTGGATATTATTACATTGAAACATAGTTACGTTGGTGGCACTACTTTAGGCTAGAAAATAAAAAAATTTCGTAAAATTGATTTTAGAATAAAAGGTTTTTGAACCATAAATTTTGCCTGATAATTTCTAGATTTTTAAAGAAAACTAAAATTTTCATTCTTAAATTTTAACTATTTTTGGTTCAGCTGTTTTATATTATTTTTCTTTAACACAGTTTTTATACCTTCAAAGGTATAATATTTAAATTTAAAAATCATGTACAACGAAAATAAGTAGTTCAAGATTATGAAGGATTTGAAATGCTGATCGATGAAATGAGGGGGTTATTGATCATTCATTGATGGATGGTCAAGTAAATCGAGGCTGCAGGTGGCTTGGTCGGAGCAACAATTGGGTGCAGTTCTTTCTTTCGTTGCTGCTTTCAATGAGAAAATAAATCCACGGCTGACTTTCATGACCGCCGAGCAAACAAACTGCTGCCCGGCGCGCGCTATCTTTTCCCAGAGCGCACGTTTTACACGGCTCGTTAAGCCGAACACGCTGGACCATCAATCTGAGCGCAAGAGAGAGAAAGAGGCAGAGGCTGCCGAGCTCCCGCAGAAGTTCAATAGCAGAGCATCTCTTTCCTTGCTGAAATTAATCTCGATAACTTTGAACCTGCTGGATTTTTTGGCTCTTGTTTAACTCATGCTCTTGATAAGACATACGACCAGCATAGATTGTATTAAGAAAAATTTGAATCGTATTTTTGGTATTAATTTTATTATTTTCGTTACTTGGCAGAGACAGGATTTGTGCAATAATTTCATTTTAAATTTAATTTTTAGAGTTAAAATTCTTATTAAAAATAGAAAATTTTAATGCTTCGCCAAAAGTTAGGTGCGATGAATAAAAATCTTAGTCTGGTTGCTTTCAGTCGATAAAATTTGTTGTAGGGCTTATTTTTAATGCTTTAATTGATAAAATTTCTTTTTGGATTATGCTTGGTTGTGAATTTAAATAATATATCAATTATTGAATTAATGCTAAGAGTGATTTGAGCTATAATGGAAATATTGATTTTTTTAATTTATAAAATTCTAATTTGACCTATATTCCCACAATATTGCAATACAAGCAGTGAGCGTTTCAATGGAGGAAATTTGGCAGTATCAGATGATAGAAAATATTAAACTTTTTTTGTTTATTTAAATAATACAATGCAGGGCAAAAAGTTCTGTTGAAGAGACAGCATCATATTTGTTTAATTGATAATTTTTGAGAAATATGTTAAGCTATTTTTTGATAAGATTTTATTTTCTGGTTTAGTGAACAGTAATTATAAAATATACCCTACAATGTTTTTCAAATCATATACATACATTTCGCAAAAAAATTATCAATGGGAATCGATCGTCAAATTTAAATTTATAAAAATCATAACAAATATTACAATAAATTCAAATTTCCTTTCTGTCCATCTGAATTTCAGGTATTCTTGAAAAAACATTTACAGATACACATTGCCATTTCTATAATTCATAATTAAAATAAAAAAATACAATTCATCAGGAAAATGCATATTACTTTTGAAAAGTTTACTTCAGCATGATTCTGAAATAGATCATTTGTATAAGGCAAAGCTCTTAAATATTGGAAATGAATAGATCGGGCTTTTCCTCGTTGCAGAAAAATTGTTTTTATTCAAAAAACACAAATGGCTCTACCAGTTCGAAAATTGAAAATATTGTTTCAATTTCAACGTTCACCCTCTTTGACCCTCTTACTTGAATAAATCGTATACTTGGATCTAAAAATTTCATTCAAACCACCGCCCAAACTTGTATATGAGGCTATAATTTAATTGCACATTTTATAATTTGAGTGCGTGTTCCACGTTCCAAGATGGGAATAACAGAAAGCTGGAGATAACCTGCGAGCGCTCGGAGCGACTTGTATTATATATTTTTTTCTATTATGTACTCGGGAGGAAAGATCAATCGGCGCAGTGGAGCACGAGATTTATTTATTCGCGTCTTGGGTTGGCGGGTGCGCCCCTGCCCTGCCTGGCTGCTCACGGCGCGGCAATGATAATTAAAGCCGCATTCCTCGAGCGCACATTTGAATGAGCCGAGCGGCGAGACGTGACCCGAGAAGCGGCTCCCACGCACCTTATATGCATGCACGTCGTATGTACGAGTAAGCGAGTGCTGCTGAAAATAATAATAAATATCAAAATCAAACACACGCGCCTCTCGCTCTTTGTCTTTCGCTCTAATCAATCGCGCTCATATTGTCATTCACGCATCATGACTTGCAAGGGAGAGAGGAAAAAATTTAAGTGCACAATTTCTTCCTTTCTTTTTACCTTCGACGTTTTTCACGTCTCGTTGTTATGCACCAGTGTGCTTATTAGTCCCGCAGCACCGCTTTGAATTTATTTATGTTTAATGAAGGACGTCAACCTTGGGGCTCTTCAAAACAACTAAATATTATGCCATTTTTTTTACTAAAATTGAAATATATAGCATTAATCTCAATTAAAATATTATATTATTATTATTATCTATACTACTCAAGTCATACAAAAAAAAAATTCAATATAGAATAATGTAATTCATTTCCAGTGTATCTAAAAAAAATTATATTTTAAACCATTAAATATCAAATTCTTTCCAGAAAAATTTATGGTTTTGATCTTTTAGAATTAATCTTTTTTTTTATAACATAATTTTAAATTTCAATATATCCACAGAGTTACTATCAATTTTATACAAATAATTGACGATTTTGAATCTTCTATAATTTAAACTCATGAATAATCCCATTTATTTTTCATTTCGCAAAAAATAATTTGCAAAAAATCAACTTTCAGTTATGTGAGGTTAAATTAAATGTTTTTTTAATTTAATTTAATGCATCTTAGTATCAATGATTCCCCTAATTATATAAAAAAAATTTGTAACATTTAATTTTCCATAGAAATAAAGCTTTGTTTTTAATGGTTTTTCCCCAGAAATTTTCAATATCAGAGATAGAAAAAAAATTTATAAGTTAATAATTTAAAAATAGAGCTTTTGCTGAACTGAAGAGTCCTTAAAGTACGAAACGGAATGAGGCGTGGGTCGTTGGGCATGAAAGTATCACGAGATCGTCCTCTACTCCTGCACTAACTCAGAAGTCGTTGCGAGAGGAAGAATAAAATATCACTTGCGCGCATAATTGTGCTCACTCGTTATGTGCATGAGCTGAATATGTCTGCATGCAATGCAAAAGCTCAGTCGCGCAGGGAGCGACAGACACAGATAATCTTGCAGTGATGCATCCGTAAATAAGCTCACCCTCGGTGCACTCGAGTGTTGATGTGCATGGCTGCATGCATAAATAGATTACAAACAATACATCTCAATCGCTCATGCATCTTTTATCACGAAGCCGCCGTTTCCTGCCCATGCATATGGCAGTCCATTCAATCAACTTCTCACGTGAGCTGCTGTGACTTGCTGAATTGGCTTTCGAATACATTAAACAAAAGTTATAATAGTTAAAATAACGTAAGCGATCAATTAGATAAAAATGTAAAATTATAAATTTAAAAATCTTCTAATCGTAAAAATTGAAATATTGTAAATTTCTTTAGATAGTTCCCTTCTTGAGAGAAATTGATTTTAAAAGTGATGTTTAGAAATAAATTATTTCTTGTTATTCCAAAAGTGTTGGTTAGTGAAACCAGTAGACCGCAGGTTGCATTTTAGGGTCAGTTGTCGTTATATTTTTTAATTTGTGGTAAGAAAAATTGATTTTTTTTTACCATTTGTATGAATCAAAAGCTTGTTCTTAATATAATAATATAGTAACAGTAACTCCAAAGCTCCTTTTTCATGAGAATTTTGACTCAAAATTATTCAGGACTTGACCACACAATAATAGATTTGTAAAATAATCATAGTTAATTTACAAATGTGGGGGACATCTAATTTTAAGAATGTTTAAGGAAATGGAG